TCTTTTAATTATTTACTTTTTAAAGGAATATTAGATTTTTTGTCGGGGGTTTTCATCACGCTACGATCAATAGGAGCAGAGCAGTGAAGGAAAAATCTTGGGAAATCGGGAGTAGTTACTCCATTTTTAAGCTTTCGTTACGAGTGCAGCTTTAATTGCTCAAGTTACATATAAATCACGTATAAAGGAAATGTTACGCAGAAAATTACTTAAAGGTAATCTTCCACAACAGCATATGTCATTCTTTTATGGTTGACTCACAATAACACGTGTAACTCATAATAGCTTAGCATTTCGGAGCATTCTGATTATAAATATTTGTTAACTCTTACGTTTAGGTATAATACTCTTACTCATTCATAATTGAAAAAAAAGTTTAGATTAATACCAATCCAATAAAAAAAATATATATATATCAGTATGGAAACATCAAACTTATACATGAAATACGCTAAGAATGCGTGCACCTTTGCAACGCCATACGCCGTGCAGCTTTTACAGGGTAACATACCCCTACATGTACGAACGAACTTGTATTTTATTTTTATGTAATTGGTCGGCAAACGAGCAGACGGATTACCTGATGGTAAGCAATCAGCGCCGCCCATGGACACCCGCAACGGAGGAGTTACGAGTGCGTTGCCGACCTTATAGGGATTAGGGATTTGGAGATTTAGGGATTGAGAAGGGATTGGGGGCGGGGAAGGATTGGGCCTCCGGTAACCTCACTCACACGGTGAAACACAACGTTGTGGTTGTTTCACGCCGGTCTTCTGTGAGGCCGTGGTATCACTCCTGTCGAGCCGACTCATTCGTGCCGAGGCATGGCTCTCCCACACTTAATTAATTAATTAAATAATAATTATTAATTATATAGTATATATTATACAATAACATCCAGTAAATGGTGGAGAAAGTTAGTATCAGCATTGTACTTGTACAGAGCCGGCCGAGTCGCTAGTAATTAAATAAAAATATGTGCAGAAAACTGTCCACTAGTTTTACAAAATGACTTCATCACCTACATATGATTTTTAATAAAAATCTTAAATTATCGTTATATTTATATATTTTATTATTATGTTTTAGAATAAAACATATTCAGGCAGGCAGTTTTCCTGTACCCTGTCCTGTAAAGGCCATCTCTAAAGCTCTCTGTCTCGGTCTTGGGCCATTTTTTCCCTTGTTGACCTTTCCTTGTTGATTTTGTAGTTTTTAAGTGTGGGACAGCCATGCTTTGGCATTTTTTTATGCAATAGGCAAAAGAGCAAGCTCCAACTGGATGATAAGTGATCGGCGCCGTCCATTGACACCTGAGGCACCAGAGGAGTCACAGTTGCGTTGCCGGCCTTTTAAGAAGGAGTATACCTACGCTCGTTTCTTGGTGTAAAGGTCGTATCGGTTCAAAATACCGCCATCGGAAAATCATTCCAAGGTGTTTTCGTGCGGGGCAGAAAGTTTTGCGTAAAACGCTTAGATGTTGTCTGCCCTACCATCTATGTGAAAGGGATGGAAATGTTTTAACGTAGAACGATGGCGATAAGATGTGGCGGGGATCAAACCAAACAATTCCTCATGAATGGGTCAGGCTCGACAGGAGTGATATCACGGTATTACAAAAAGCTGGCGTGAAACAATACCTACGTTCTGTTTCGCCATGTGACTGAGGTTACCAGAGGCCCAATCCTCAAATCCCCTATCCTTAAACCCCTAGCAGCCAGCTGGGGACTTTTATTCTAAAGCAACGCACTCGTAGATAGTATCTCCTTTGGTATTATGAGTGCCGATTGCTTACCACCAAGTAATACGTCTGCTCCGTTGCCGTTTAGAAGTTATGGGGGGTAAGTGGAGAAGGGTAACCGAAGGTCTGCAAATATACTCCAGTGGGGTCTCAAATGAAAGCGCTCTGAAAGGGAGTGTTGATGACTTAATCGAGAGAAAATAAATTTGACCCCCGACAAAATAGAAATATGTAATAGATAATAAAATATTTGGATTGGTCCCCCACCGCCACGTTTTTTTTTAATTATTACTTTTTAAAGGAATATTAGACTCTTTTTCGGGGGTTTTTTAAAGGACATGGCCAACTTTTGTATGGGCGTTTGCATAGTTATTGAATTCAATGTACATCAATGATTTTTGGTGTTTACATTCGTGAATATTATTAAATTAAATTGCAAAAAATAAAACACATGAAGAACTCGTAATTATAAAAAACAAGACGAAAATAGTTTCACTAAACCTTTAGTCAGATTACTGGCCATAAGTGCACGAAATAAGATTTTGCTTTTAAAAATCTTTTTGCGTTTTAATTATTTATTTATTTATTTATAAAATAAAACAAAAGAATATGTATAAAGAATAATGATTTATTTATTAAGGAGAAAAAATAAAATAAAACTACGTAATAATTCACTTTTATATTTTTATTATAAAGTGTATTTTATTATGTTTGTGTATGGAATGTACGTTTCTTTAATATATATTCTGTATAATTGGGTAATAATATGGTAGTACTTTCTATTTGAAGCGGCCTGCTTAAAACAGGTGGTAATGGTGGTGGCTCTGGTGGGCTAACCACTTGAATGTAAGGGCACTGCAATGTTGTCCGAACCCGCACTGTCTGCACTGTCTGTCTATTTGCCCGCATACAGCACACATGACAAACATAGTTGCTTCTTGAGGTCTGAAAAAATAAACCCCAGTTAGAATAAACACATGTTTTCAAGTTTTATGTTATTGTACAGTGAGAAGTATTATGTTACAACATGCCTATTTTAAAGAAGTCTATGCAAACATGGAAAATACATAAAGATAGATATTATGATCACACATACCTACTATGAGTACTTTTTTTTATAGATTAATATAGATACATACAAGTACATATATAAAACAATGAATAAAAAACAAAATGCTTACCACATTAATAGTATTTTGTGATATTAGGCCAGCTAGCAATGGAGAGTCCATACTGACATTATGGTGTCTATTTTTCGAACCGATTTTCCACAGCCAAGGCAAGCCATGTTATGCCCCAGTAGTCTCTCATGTTCACCAGCCTCAGTATTCAATAGTAAGAAGCGTGGTTGACAAATGAATGTCCCCAGAGGCAACTAAAAAAAAGATGCACTATTTAAAATCGTATACCATGATAAAACATAAAAAAACAGACTAAGTATTACACTATTCTGACTTCATACCTGGGTTTGAGCTGGTTAACCAACGTGAAAGTTTTGTTTGATGGTGTGAAAGCGAGGATATAAGACGCCTCTGCAGCCTTTGTACGCTTATTCCGCAGTTGATGCACCTCATCGTAATCCACAAAACAAATCCAAAACGCAAAACAGTTACTTCAGTATTATTAGCAAGGTTAACAAAAACACGCTGTTAAAAGTGTCAAACACGTTCCGTTTCGTTTAAGTTTTTTTTTGGTGAATTGGATAAAAATAAAACATAACATTATTATAATATGAGTATATTTTAAAATGCAACTAAAACCAATGAATACAGTTTCGTATGAATAAAATGTTCCTAGTGTAATGCATTTGTCGATCATATCACACGTTTTCTACGAGTGTAGTTTAAGACACGTGGTTTGGAATTGGAACGTCTTTTTATTTATCTTTCTCTATGGACTATTATGGTGAAACTTGACAAACGAAGTTGATTTTGTTGCATTACTTTTACATTTTTTTAATAATAATTGTCAGGTCTGGAGAGGCTAAAAACTACGTAATAATTCATATTTCTATTTGTATTTTACAGTGTATTAATTTTGTTCGTGTACGTGGAATGTACTTTTTTGGCCATGTCCTTTTAATTTAATGTTATTAGTAGTTATTGTTATTGGTAAAAGAAATACCTACCGTATTTCTTTTACCCCTTCTTAGCTAATTAAAAATGATATTTCCAATTTTATGATGGCCCTCCATAGAGGGGGCCCTAACAGGTTGATGTTCAGCCGGGGTTGCGGAGTAAGTGCAATGTGGCACTGCGGCCTAAAACATTAGAAGGAACAGGCGAGTTTTTAGTCAGTAATACTCTGACACTCTCTCGCCGGGCGGAGATATCATATGATGATTTTCGCCTGACAAAAAAAAATTGGTATGGTGGAGGTCATGTTTCTGAAATCAAGATAAATGATTCCACGATACTCACAGGATACCTATATCAGATCAGAGAGCAAGCGATGTATTTTATCAATTGGTTCAGGTTAATGCAGGTCCAATCTTCCTCCCTCATTTCCAATAACTAATTCCCAACAAAACCATCAACGTACTTGTTAACTCTAGTGTCGCGAATGCCTCTGGGCGATCCCGGTTGCTTACCATAAGATCCGTGCACTATAACATACAAATAGTATAATAGTTACACCAACGACCTCTAGTTTGAATGAGCGACGCTGAAGGCATGTGAATGACATTTGGTGATGCTCTTTCTAGGGATAGACCAAGTTAAGGGTTATATCCTTTTTGAGTAAATAGCTCGATTTATTCTTATCATAAATTACATCACGACAACGCTGTGCTTGGTGATATGTTAACATAACACTACTCTTATAAACTTCAAAAAAGGGAGGTATACCAACAAAATGATTGCATGGGTGTTATTTACAAACCATCCATAACACCCGAGTAGAAAAAAAACAATGAGAAACCACAAAAGTATGATTCTAATAATGTAATCTACAAAGAATAGAACTCTTAGATACTCACGATTGATGTGATGGTGCAAATAATATAATAATTAGAGACATCAAACCACAATCTTAGCGTAACCTTAGTAAAACAATAAATAATTCCACAGTTCCACATTCTAGGCATAACTAGTTCAAGAGACATTGACACGTTAGCCTCCGACATAAAGACTAAATCGGTGACAAATATTGATTAAAGTCTCATTTCAGGTTCTGCAAGTCAAATGATCCCTCATTATAATATTCTAATGCCCTATTATTTATATAGAAAAATGTTACGCGGCTAAATGTAAGAGGTGTGGTAAAGTTTTGTAGATTAAGCAAATTCGAGCATTCAAACATATGCAAAGTAGTCGGGCCCGGCGTAAGTATATAAATCAGCAATATTTTGAGATTCATCACAGTCATCACTGCATCCTCTTCTCTTCTACAACTACAAACACCCACCTCAAAACTCCAAAAATGAAATCCGTAAGTGAAATATAATATTATTAGCTCATTGTGATGAAAATTTTAACTGTGATCTTATATTTTGGATCTTACCCATTGTTTTATCATAAGTTTAATAAATAAATTACTTGATTATAAATTAATTAAATACTACTGATTAGCATTACTGTAATCTAGTAATTATTCTATGATGATCTTTACAAAACATTTTGAAAATAGACAACTAAAATGTGTTCAATTGATCTGGTTCCGAAAAGGCGCGGTAGAATCTTGCAAAATGTCATCACACGCCTAAACGCGCGAGTGTTACGCGGACATTCGTTCTGTATTACAAATACTACTCGATACGCAAATGAGAACTTCTTAATTTGTTTGACAATTTACTTGATATTTAATGCCACTACAAATATCCAAGACATTCCTACACTCATCACAATTTATATATATTATATTTTAATTTTGTTTTACTTTAGTAATTATTTTGTTACCTACCTTTAACATTTTTTCAAGCCTAACTTAATGCAGTAACATTAAATCAGCTAGTTTATGGGTGTTACATCTCGGTGTCCTGTCTGCCCGAAGTTTGTCTATCGATATTCTACAAGAGTACAAGTATTACATTATCATTTTGATGATGTTACACATTGCTAACAGAATCCTAAATAGCTTTGAAACCTTGATATTTGAGTCTCGCGTTAATTATGCCGCCAAATAAAATTCGATAGGTCACCAAGTTTTTTAATATAAATCGTTATATTTGAGTTATGACTTTGTTATTGATAGATATGAAGTGATTTGGAGATATCTAACAGAAATAAATGAGAAATACTAGGTACATTAGCATAATTGCTCTAATAAATGTTTGTTTGTACAGTTCATTGTCTTCGCTCTTTTCGTCGCCGCGGCCGTCGCCGTTCCAGTTGAAAACCCCAGGGACGCAGTCATCGTCAGACAAGAGGTTGACAACATCGGAGTTGGAGGCTTCAGTTTTAGGTAAGACCTACTCTACATTTATTATTCTGATTACAACATCTGGTCTTCGAAGCTGAATTATTCCGGCTTACATCCAACTAGCGAATATAAATCCCTTATATTTTAATTACAGTTATGAGACCAGCGATGGCAAGTCTGCCCAGGAACAGGGTCAGCTCAAAAACGTCGGCGCTGAGAACGAGGCTATTGAGGTCCGCGGCCAGTACTCTTACACCGGCCCTGACGGTGTTGTCTACACCGTCAACTACGTCGCTAACGAGCTCGGCTTCCAGCCCGACGGTGCTCACCTCCCCAAGGCTCCTCAATAAGTCTCTTCCCAACCAACAACTCAAAATCTAGTCTAAACTTACCGAGCTTGCAAGAGATTACTGTTACCTATACAGTCTGACTGATTGTCTTGTTTTGTTAAATAACTCTTGCGCAATAATAGAGGATAGGATAGTGAATATACTTGTTTGATTTTGATTTTACCGTTTTATTGTTCATTTCCTTACCTATCAACCCAAGAACAGTGCAATTTGATAATAATAGGATATCTTTAACAAACACATAAAACCAGCAATACTTTAATTTAAAGACATCACACAATAAACCAAACAAGTTGTTACAAAGACACAAGGAAAAGAAACGTCAAAGGGTTTCAGGTATCGTTTGAAAGAACACAAGGAGTGGGACAATCCATTAGCTGATAGCACTACCTTCTAGCACTCACCTACATCAAAGTTAATCAAAGCTAGCACCACAAAGGACCGAAAAAGGAGTTCCATTGTGGCAAATAATAGCGTACTAAACAGCGCATGATGTATGCTCTACTCGGAAAATAAACATTTACAGTTTTAAAGCATGAATGCGGTTTTTCAACTAAAAAAATACCAATATTAACTTTCAATCTTCCAAAACTTAAAATGAATTATTTTTTATTACTTGCAAATATAGCTAAAATGTATTAATACATTGAACATCGCATTAATCGGTTGGATACTTTGTTATTCTTTGCTAACATCTTTTCTAATAATATCGTAATCAAAACGAATGAATAGAATGTTACAATTTATTGTTAATAGGGAAGTGGAGCGCCTTTACCTATGTATCAGGTTGGCAGATAAGCAGACATGTTGTGGAGATTACGCGCGGTTTCAAAGACGCTTTGATTCCGAGAGGTGTTAATGCACGCCGGTATTACGGTACGAGTTACCTATGTTAAGAGATTGAAGATACTCATGTTTACTGCGCGAATGTAGTACTACGCTACGAGTATACCTATGCATACTTTGCGATACAGTAAAGTCATTTAATTTTACTATTTGTCTATCTGTTGTGAATGTTAAACAACTAAGTGTAGTGGTCGAAAAAATATGTGTTCTGTAAAATTCTTTAGTTACAACTTTCTATTAGCTCATAAAAACGTGTTATACGTAAGGTCTTTTGAGTTTTGCGATAATACTAAGTCTATAACAGACAATGCAGTACGAGGTACAATTGGTTACAAGAGCAAGCAAGATATAATTTTTTCTTTGACTGTAAAACAAATAACTAGAAACTAAGAGACCACCTAAATTTGTAGCTAAAATACTGCAAAACAAAGCCACAACAGCGCTTTGTTGGAAAAAGCGCATTCGCAAATAATTCCGGGATTGGAATAGCACGCAGTTTCACGCACGGTACTCAAACACACATCAGCGTGTTTGACAAATACTTTTTGTTAGTCGCAGCGAGTGGGGCAACGCGACGCGTCGCCATGTGCCGCTGATAGTGAAGCGTTAATATTACAGGTGGACTTGATCTATCGCTGCTACGTGACGCTGGGGCAGGTTAGGAGCGGGAGCGGGAGCGGGCTAGTGTGTCTCCGTGAAGTGAGTTGGTAAAGCGTGTCACGGATGTCCATAAGTGTAAAACGTTGATGGACTGATTCCGAGAATCTCTACAAATTAATTTTCAACTCTTGTTCGTTAAAAAAATATTCTCCTTCGAATCTGTATAACATAATAACTAGGTAACTGAACCATACTACCAACTAACTAATCCAGTGGTTCCGGGTCTCGTCATGATGTGTTTAGACAGGACAGTTTTATTTTACATAGGAGAAAATCGTCGTGTGGGGCAATATTTAAAAATAGATTAGTTTGCTTTTTAGATTTATATTCATGTCACATAGATAATTTTGTATTATAAATGTTTCAAAATCTTGAGAACGCCACCTACTTACAAACATTTATGACTCGCGTAATCATGTAACTTGCACCACGCTTCACCATACTGTAGTACCGACTCAACGTGTTCTCCTAACACGCGATATATTTGTTAAACAAGCACACCCTGTATATTGGGCACGGACGCGTGATTTATGAATTTCAATAACTTTACACTTTTACCTAACAAATGTGGCAACCCTACCGGAGGCCTACATTAATGGTAGGTCTACAAAACCTACCGATAATCTTTAGAGAAACGTAACCTATATTTATTTACTTGATCGATGTTTGACTGCCATTTAATAATTACTTTAACCACTCCTTAGTAACAATTTCTCGACGAAAACAATTGCTAAGGATTAGGTTAATGACCATTAAATGACTCTGAGTACAGCGGTAAGTAAATACGATTAGTGAAAGTATTTACCGTCATATTTGTGGTCCGAGGTGGGGTGTAGCTCGACAAAATTGTCAGACTTACTAAACAAATTTGGATTTAATACAATTAGACATAATGTAGGTAAATTGCTGAATTTGCTCTGTGGATATAATATAATCAGCGTAGTGTGTAGACGGCCTAATATAGTAGAAAATGAAAATAAGGGGGTAGATGAAGATTCATCACCCGAATGCAGGGAGCTGTGACATCGCGTATTCAGTCTGCTTGTGACCACGACCTGTGCAACCGGGTCGAAACGTCAAGCCTACCAAGGTATTCAAATTATAATTTTCCGCGTTAATACCCACGTAAATATAATGTTGTTAAGATGAAACGCGAAAGTTTAAAAGTTTGTATTGTATGTTTTTTTGTCAGGGAAGTCATCAAGGTTTTCTCTGAGTGGGTCGAGAGGACAGGGACAGGGAGTGTTAGATACTTAGTGACTGAAAACCACTCCGTTCATTATTCGTACACTCCCGCAACTCCGGCTGAGATTTTATGTATAATTCTTTATTGCATTTTTCTCTTTCATATTCGAACCTTCTTCTTCAAATTTGACAACGGCAACTGCTGACAAAAATCCTGTCAGAGAGACAGAACAAGTTTACATAAAACCTCCACCTCAAAACACATCATTTGGACATTATCTCGTGAGCACATTTTTTACGACTGTTCCTTAACTTTTTTTGGTAACCGGCCAAGTTTCAATTTTCCTGTCATTAAAGAACTCTTAACACCGGTGGCTGCAAAAAGTGGGTGAAAGAGACGGAAGAACAATCAAAAATAGGTTTCGATTTGAGGGGAGAAGCGACGTACTCGTGGAAATAGAATGGGGAACATGTGCTTGTGAAATATGGTACCGGTGTTTTATAAAAGTGATGGAAATGTGTTGTGTTTTTAAACTGGTTCATATTCAGTTTGTGATCATCATTCAGGTTCACGTCGATTTTCTTTTTACTCCTGACTTTGGCTCGTGCTCTCAAAGTGTCAGTAAGCGACTTCGGAGTTAGTAATATTTGTACCTTTTTTAGGTTTTTAAATAACTATAAAGTATGTAAATATGTAAGGTAGTTTTAACGTAGGCATTAAAATAGTGATAACTCCAAAGAATGTATAGTTTTTAAATCATTATTAAATAAATCTTATTTCTCAATAAAATTTAAATTAATGTATCAAATATTTTGGTGTCACTAAGTCTCCTTAGCATTTAAAATAATGATGGTTATTAAGTGTTTCTTCAAGCCAATAAATAATAAATATTTTGCAATCTTTATCCTCCACTACAACTTTCATTGAAAGAAAGATATAAAAATATTTAATTCAAATAAAACTAGAAGTCCAAACTAAATGCAAACATGTATTAGGATAAATAGAAAATGAAAGAGATCACCCAATAGAATTGATCACTGCCCAGAATAAAGATAGAAAAGAAAAAAATACGAAGGTAGAAAAGAATAAAATCGTTACGAGAGCCAAAGCAAATTGAATAAGAAAATTTTTATTTTTACCTTTTGAACAAATAAAAGAAAAAATAGAGAGAGGAGACCCTTTTATTACACCTCTATTAGGAACGGAATGGACTTCAGATTGGCTAATAACCGTTCTATCAGGTGAAAGGAATTCACTCTCACTTCCCTTTTTGATATTTAGGGACGCGCCCGCGAGCTACCGATACCAATCAATATCGATAATTTGATTTAAGAATACACGTAGACGCGATTCAATGTGATTCTGCTCAAGAAATGAGTTTGTATTTCATAACTCAATTGAAGTTGTATCGAGGCTTGGTATCTTTCGAAAGGTTTTGTTATTGAGTGATTTTATTTTTCGAAATCCTGATGAACTTTATAGTAATTGACCTATTATTACCAGAGGTGATTCATTTATGACATATACACCATATACAGGTGCTTTTTTTAATTACCCGACTGCCAAAGAAGGAGGGTAATGTTTTTCGAGTGTATGTAAGTATGTATGTATGTCTTTTCCTTTGTGACCTCCTGTAGCCTAAACGGCTTGATGGATTTTGATGTATGAGGTATCGTTAGATTTGTCTTGATTACGGGAGTGTCATAGGATACATTTTATCCTAAAAGTCCCACGGGATAAAGACATAATAATATTTTTTCTAAATTTTCCTTTAAAAAAATATGTATGCGGTATCATTAGATTCATTTCAATCACGGGAGTAATTAATATAGGATACGTTTTTTCTCAAAATTCCCACGGGAACATGTTAATTCTGCGTCAACGCAAAGCAACTCATGCGTTCGCAAGCAAAAAGATAGGGCGTGGCCTGGCATGCGGCGCGCGGCGCGGTGCGGAGGGGGATATGCTCGAGTATACAGCCCGAATGCGTACAACATTTTCGTTAAATAAAAACAGCTAAAAAGTTATAAATAAAAAAATTATTATTAAAAAAACAAAATACCCGACTGCACACTAAAAAAAGAGTAAAACAAGCCCCACAATACAAATTTACTGAATATAATTTATAAATATTGATGGAAAGCATCGCAGGCGGGGACCACCTTGACCGCCACCAACGAAAATTCTGCTAAATGGTGCACAACAGAAATGACTATAAATAAGCCTCTGTTGGTCCCCGCCTGCGATGCTTTCCATCAACATTTATAAATCATATTCAGTAAATTTGTATTGTGGGGCTTGTTTTACTCTTTTTTTAGTGTGCAGTCGGGTATTTTGTTTTTTTAATAATAATTTTTTTATGTCAAAATAGAATAATACAAGTAGTTCATCAGTCTATTCGGCAGTGAAGCTAGGTGCTCGTTCCAAAATGTAAATTCAAGTGGAGAAAAATGGAAAAGAAACTT